CCCATGTGATAATGTTCAGGAGCTGCAATGACTTTTGCAATGTTACAAAATCCTTTTACAATACACAAGTTTTCTGAGCAGGTTAAAGTTAACTTCTACTTGCATATACTTACTCAGAGACCCTTTCAGCTGTCCCTCCATTGATCCTCAGTAACTTCATGGTAAATATGCTGTGGCTGTAAGGAAAACCTGTGTGAGTTTTGAACAGGTTGTTTAACACCACATCCATGATAAACTTAACTGGTTTTACCTTCGGCTAGATGAGTGGTTCATCTTTGTGGCTGCAGCACTTCTGTTTTTATTCCCAAAGTGTAGCAGCTTGGAGGCTTCACCCAGGTTATGAATGTTGATCCAAATGAGGTCTGAAATCAAAACAAATGTTTTTCCTTTAATCATTAATGCTAACATTCACCTGATAATTTAAGAACATAAGCCAAGGTCATTTCCACACCTTTAACATAAGCATTTCCAGCACCATCATCGCATACACGGAGACAGGCACGTTTCTTGGATTTGGAGCACAAAGATGGCTGGAGAAGATCGTACACATACTCATTGTAGATTTCAAAGAAAGCCACCCATAAGGCAAACTGGCTGTCATTTGCTTCTGCCTGGTTGCTGGTCAGCACTAAAGTACGAGCACAGAAGACCATAAATATAGAAATAATAAGAATCCACAACAATAATCACTATTCTAATGAGTAGTACCCGTTTGAGTTGAAGATGCAGAGGAGGATGAAAGATGGCTGGTCAAACAAGACTCTAGACAACTACTGCCTCTGAGAGAATCACACTCCTAGACCAGAGGAGAGACATACGAATGTAAACAGCACTACACTCAAGTGCTTTATTCCCATCTTCTCTTTTCTGGAATACATTTGACAGAACTGAGTCCTTACTTCTTTAATTGAAGCAAAAATGGCAGCTTTAGTGATTCCTTCCTGCTTTACTTGGTGAAAATCCAGAGACTGCACACCATTCCTGAGGTAGGGCTTCAGGTCCATTCCCCGATACTGATGTTCTCCAATGTACTGAAAAGTGCTTTCCAGCACTCGAGGCAGTATTCCTGGCTCTTTTGGAGTTCCTGCAGCACTTCAAAACATTACCAGAAGAACTTTGCACGACTTGAACTTCACAAGGATATTGTGCTTCTGTCCGTACCTTGGATTGTGAAGGTTTTCCCAGCATTGGTTACACCATAGCTGAATATCAGTGCGTTCTTCCCATCCAAGAAATCACTCATTTGGCTTTTGACTGCGTTCTCAAACAGCTCAGCCTGTGTTGTGTCAGGCCCAAAAATCTAAAAGGCAACAGAAGATAAAAAGTCGACAATTACTGACATAGAAAGGGGGGAGAAAATGGGTAATTTCCAATGTTACTGACCTGTGAAAAATAAAATTTGTGGAGTGACATGCCAATTCCTTTCTCACTGCTCTTCATGGTGGCAGAACCTTTTGGTGCATTCAGTGTCACCGTCTGGCTGTTTTCAATCACAACACAAGCCTGAGAGATGGGAAAACAAAGTGCTTAACAGTCTTTGTAAATCAAACTATCTCATAACAGGTGAAAGTCAGAACTGGCATGGGCACTATGTTGGTGCAAAAGTGGCAACTGTGTCTTAAATCAGGTGCTCTTTCCATTAGTTTTATTTTGAATGCAAGACAACTGCTCTTAAATAGTATTAGGCTACAAGATCATCTAATCCAAGGGGAGTGGGGGGGGGGACTTCTTGTTTTAATACAAAATCCTTATATTCATGGAAATGTGCAGATGAGCTACAACACTTGCAGAAGAAAGCAGAGAGGATACACACTGGTTTTTCCTTATTGGTCATCCCAGTATGTTCGAGTGTACCTGATCCTCATTGTTAGAGAGCTCCTCTTTAGAGAAAGGCCTCACTCTGAGATAAACGCTCATTGTCTGCTGTTCAGCTGCAATGGGTGCATCAGTCTAACAACAGAAAAAGACAAATCAAAGCAGAGGAACTGTTTCTTCCAGTCCCTCCATTCAGTTACTGGGACAGACACGCCAAGTAAGTGAAGAATTGGCAGTAATGGTTATGCATTAAAAACACAAACAAAAATAAACATTACCTGTTGCAGGGACGTGTTGCCAGGAGGAAGACAAGTCAAGTCCATGTCAACAGACTGCATACAAACACTGTTTTCCTGAATCATTTCACTAACTTCACTCATCTTCAAGTAAATTAGCTCAAACAACAACAACTACAAAAAGAAGTAATAGTTATTTGTTAAATTCATACATGAGATTGAGTGTAAGATATCAGCACTAAAGCTGATTTAACAGTCACTGACTACTGTAGGCTTGAAATAACTTAACAAGAGCCAGTAGACCTGCTGGTTTTCCTCCACTGAGAATCAAGGGAAAGCTATGGAAGAATCACTGCTAATTGGAAGCAGATGTGAGTTCAAGCAAGTCATCAATATGTCCAACCAGCTTGGAGTGCCCTGTGTGTCAGATTCTCATTTGATGAATGTGTCACTGTACAAAAAGGTGACATATTGAAAAAATTAACAAGCAAGCAAACAAGCAAGTAAGACAAAATAGAACCGTTTTAATCTTTGAGGATTCTTCCCAACATAGATTTCCTTATTTGTTTGATTTGATTATGATGTTGGAGAGCGCAGTCTAACCCACCAGTGTTCACTGTGGTTTAGACCTGCAGCCGGTTTCACAAGCGCAGTCTGTAGGATTAAACCAATCTTATTTTTGCTCAGGTTTACGCAAAATAAACTTAAAAATTAAGCCACCTTCACTTTGGAGTTTAGTTGTCTGGGACAAAACGAAATTACAAACAGAGATTAAGAATAACCCAAATACTATAACATAATTAGGGTTTGGTGGGAGATACGTAAGAGGTTGAATAGAGAAGACGGCACATTGTTTTTAACCCCTTTATTGAGAAACTGCAGTCTGTTTGATATGTGGCGTAACAACAGGTTACAAATGATTGGTGACCTTTATCAAAACATCACATTGGTGAACTTTCAACAATTGAAGTCACATTTTCATTTTTCTTGAGAACATTTTTTTTTTTTAGCTTTCTCCAGATTCATAACTGTGTTCATTCTAAAATGTCACAATTTTTAGAAACAGCTATATATGATGACTTGGAGACATTTCTTATGAAGGAAACATACAGAACTCATTTTACTTCTGCTTTTTATTCATCACTCTATGCTCACAGTAGCAGTACATTGAGTGCTATTGAAAAATGGGAGGCAGATCTTAATAATCAATATACTGAGGAGGAATCGAAAGGAACTATTAGCATAGTTAGGTTTACTTTCACTTGCAACCACCAGGGAGAAACCCAGTACAAAATTTTGCACTGCCTATATATAGGCACTAATGCAGAGGTAGGGAACTCCAGGCCTTGAGAGCCGGTGTCCTGGAGGTTTTAGACCTCACCCTGGGTCAACACACCTGAATCAAATGATTAGTTTATTACCAGGCCTCTGGAGAACTTCAAGGGCTGTGTCCCAATTAAGAGACCGCACACTTGAAGTACGTGTACTACGCGCAGCCAAGGTATGTTGAGGAGGTCATTTAGCCATTTAAATCAGCTGTGTTGGATCAAGGACACATCTTAAACCTGTAGGTAGGGATGGGCAGATGAAGCTTCATGATCCAAAGAACTTGCTGAGGGTGTAAAGATACTTGACGTTGTCCTTTGCCTTGTTGGCCACCACAGTGATGTCTCTGTCCTGATAAATCAATAAATCGATCAATGATGACAACAGCATCGTTCAGACAACAGCTTTGAACTGAACATGAAATAAACTGCTGACCAGATCTCTCAGGCACCTGCAGGACCCCCAGAGTCCTCTTCACCTGAGAGCCCTTCACTTCCTCCAACAGACTGACACACACACACACACACACAGATCAGAAACACAGACTTAATAACAGTTATTATGAATCCTTTCACACACAGTGGTCACTACAGTTACAGTTACTGCTATTCAAAGGCTGTTTGCTTGTATTCGTGTCAGTGTTGATGTTGTACTTGCACATAAACCTCTACATTGGAGTCTGATGTGTCGCTCCATACCTGCCACCTACTGGTCAGCCAGTGTAAGTGCACAAAACATTTCTTCAAACCAAGATGGAAAAATACATGTTT